TATTAGTTAAAGTTAATAAACACTAAGTTTTTGATTTCACTTTTTAGTATGCTAGTTCTAGTTTATCATATAGAATGATGATACGTTTACTTGATCATATTTATTGATTATTGGATGTACCTACACCAATATACCCACCTTTCTATCACACTATGATCTAAATTACGTAAAAGGATGTAAAGAATCACATGTAACTGAGTACATAACTCTGCATTAGACTGAAACAGAATCAACACTATATTTGAAGCATTAAAAAAATTGCACCATTTACACGTAAATAAATACAATCAACGTTACTGCATTTAAAGCGATTGTTTGCATTCTCTGCAAATCATTTGCGTGAATCAATATCTCCAAAAATTTACAAACTACAGTATTGTTTAAACCTCCTGATTCTCTTTGTATAATAAGTTAACTAAAAAGTTTTGATTTCAATGTATATTATCAATTAGAGTTATGGAGATTGGTGTTTTTACACATTTGACCACCATTAGAAACCTGGAAGCACTGGACGGCCGTTTCATCCTGGTATAGGACTCATCAGCAGTGCGTATCCACGACTCCTGCATCCCGCAAGATTCGAACCCGGGACCTTCAGTATTGTGCGCGAACGCCTAACCAACGGTGTTAATGTCTAACTCTGATTGATTTGGGGATTTTGCGCGACTTCAAACCTCACGCCTCAATGTATATGTTGCTGGAATATTATCTTTTGTTCAAGATGATCCGTTCTATATATATATATATATATATATATATATATATATATATATATATATATATATATATATATATATATATATATAAAGTTGAATTCTTTTATAATATATGCTTTAATATCATATGAATGACAGCTCAAGTTGAATGTAACTCATAACCTTCAAAATACCGTTTTGTTGGTAAGCAGGAACTCAAGATATAGCTCTTTGTTTTTAAAAATTTGGAAACTTACAATTGCGTGTGACATGATTACATTGTTCACAATAACTGTCGTTCAGTATTTTATTGTTTAGATATCTAGGAAAATTTAATACTGAATTTTATAGTTTCAGAAATGTGTTATAATAACTTTTTACCGTATCTATAAATAACACATTTTCAGTGGTATTTTTTTAAAAATAAAAATATACAAGTTAGTTTCAGTATATTGATAATGTAGGAAGTTGTAATTGTTTTAGATTGTGGTAAAATTCACGCTTTACTTTAGTACGTCATTTTCATATAAATTTAAATGAAATCTCTAACGATAATCAACAATTTGATAATCTATCATGGACAAAAAACAGAATATTGTGTAAAATCAATATTCGATTGTTCATTTATGAAACTAAATAATGAGTGGTTTAACAATATTTATTTTCTGCACTATTTGTTTCAATATCTTCATTGTACTTTAATAGTTGATAGTGATAGTGTGTTTTAAGTTTATTGATAAAGAACATGATACAAATGTTTGATTGTCAACAAGATTTTTGCTAACAATCATCCTTGTATGGTAATGCAGGATAAATAAACCAGCGATAAAAGTGTGTTTTATCAACAATTTAATTTCAGTATTGAGAAATTAACTGGTCAGCCATTTGCCTCATAAAGCTCACTAAGTATTTTATCAGATAACTGTCTTTACGATATTCTTTAGTCGGCGTCTAATTTCATTGCTTGTATGTGACAGAAGAGACGTGACAAGAGGGATGAAATGAATGATGAAACATGTAATTTGTGGTTTAGTTCCAATTGTGGACACCTTCGGTGTAAACCCAACGTTGTCTACTGTTTTGCTCTAACACTGAACAATACATAGAGAGGTTTTCTGAACAATCAATACACAACTAGGAAGACGAAACTGTTACTCCATACTTGGTGACTGGCCTTATACTAATTAGCTCCGAACACAGAAGAACAAAATGGGTCCAATGATCACCAGCCTAAGATTGTTATTTTATTTCATACATTCAGTTGCATAAACGCAAAATAAAGACCGCACATCAGACCAAGTGAGTAACAATATTAACAACGAACGACAACATTATTGTTCGGAAAAACGTAGTAACGGGTATACAAATACACGGTTCTAGTTTATGAATAAGAAGTGAAACGGCAATAATATACAGTTTAAATAAAATCTAGGAACTAGGGTAATTCGAAAATAATGACAGAAAACTTATTAACTATGCAGTCACTACAGATAAATATGACATTAGAAAAATAGCTTCAAAAGTTTGTTACCTCCTACTTAAATCGTCTCTCACAAGATCTATAAATGTGCGCATACTGTTTTAAATATCAACGATGTCTATCTAAATAATATAGACAGCACAGTCATAATTGAAATACAAAGTACTTATCAATTTACTAATCTAATACATTTGGTGCTTTGAAATCCTAACACTACGATCTCAAACACCGTTTGTTTACGCATCAATCTGACTGATTCCAATCAACTCTTTTTTAACGTTTTTCAAAGTTGCGAAACACATATATGGATTTATCAGAAACTTGTGAATTTGCTGATTAGTTATCTAGACCTGGCAATTATTGTAGACAAGATATAAATTGAATATAATCGTAATTATTACAGTAGCCACTTGTGTTGAATGCTTTTCTGAAACTAATCCTAGTACTTGTTCTGCTCTGAGAGAGTTATGACGTCTCATAGTGAAGGCAGTGATACTTCATAAATCCTAAAACCAATGCACCTTCTAACAATCGGAGCAACAATTAAATAGGCACATGGAATGTCCTCATAGTCTAGGAGACTGGAAGGACTATCCAAATAGTGGTGGAAATGAAAAGATGTGACTTTAATCTGCTTTGAATAACTGCAACCCGTTAGACTTAAGTTGACAGGAAAACATTAGCTTCATGAGTGGTCCTGTTATTTTCTGTTCATGAAGATTCAAATAAATTGCGCATACAAAGAGCTGAACTAAATCTTTGCAAAGAAACACGAAGAGAGTTCATAGGTTTGGAATCTCGTGGATCAAGGATCATCAAAATATCCTTTGAAATAAAGGACGATGGGATTAGAGTGAATATGATCCAGTTCTATGCTACTTTTAATATCAGCAAGATGATGAAGATCAGTCTCATAAGAGGCTGTAGTCCACTGTGGAGAACTGGCTAGAAAAAAACTTAACCATTTAAATGGCAGGAGGTTGGAGTGTACAACAAGGGATAGCCACACTTCGTGGAGCGGCATGGACTAAGAGAAACAAAGACAACAGAAAATAATGAAAGGCTGACAACTCTATGGTCGATCAATATGCTTATATGGGGTAGAATTTCACCCTAAGAACGTATGCACAAAACCACATGGGCTCCAACGAATGCCATCACGGAGAACTAAATCAATCACTAATGGATGAGCAAGAAATCTAAAAATTACATTAAAGACATAAGAATAGAAAGAAGATTTGGTATAATTTCAGATCATCACCTTGGGATAACTAAGTTAGGACTGAAAATGAAGGATGCCAATAATATAAGCAAATTTTAAATAGCTCTCAACACCAGGCATGGCAAGATTTACTGGACGAAGGAGGAACCACCATGGAGTGCCACTGGAAATATACTGAGGGATTGATAACTTCAACATACCAAGACGTGCTGAACAACATCAAGCAACAAAATAAAGAGAATATCTTAGAATCGCCTCGGAAGGTTGCAGATAAAAAAATCAAGACGACAACAGTCAAAAGTAGCCGAACAAGAGAAGAGAAAGTCAAGGCACAGACCGCATACACAGAAACGCATAAACCAACTAACTAGCGAAAACAATCAAATATTGTTGTCACCGACAACAGCGAAAGCTACATGAGAAGGAAATATGAGAGAACTACATGATGTAACTGAGAAGCGAGGTGATATAGTAAAACTGGAGTGACAAGTCCAGAAAAACGGGATAAAACTCAACCCCTGAAGTTCTATAGCGACGAAACAGATGGAAGAAACATTTTGATGAGCTCTTTAATAAACCAGCTCCACTGAATACGTTAGATATCTAAGCATTATTTATAAATCTACACATAGATGATCACCCACCATTGATATAATAAGTTACCGAGGTCATCAGATGAATTGAAAATGACAAGGTAGCCGAACCAGAGAACTCACCATCTCAAACAATGAGCTCCGATATAGAGGTAGGGGCAAAAATGAACATAATTAGAATTTTAAGCAGAAACATTAGAACCATTCTATTGTAAAGACCTGGAATTTGAATAACTGACACAATCGCAGTTAAATATATACAGGTATTCCTACACAGCTCTCTACATAAGTTACTTTTAACCCATTGCCAGGAGACCATCTGTAATAATCTACTATGTCTCAGCACTTATCAACTGTAGTGAACGAGAACACAGGTGGGACAACCAGATTGTTACTCAGTAAAATTGGAAAACCATATCGTAAATCGTTCATTTGCAAATTATCAGTCCATCCTATCGAACTGGACTGTTCCTGTTGCCAAACATCAATCCATTGTCATTATTCATGCGTTTCATACAAATTCCATTGTTTTTTAACTCTTCCTTTCTTGATCTCTCCCCATCTTCCGCTGCCAGACATTACGTTGACACTCACGTCATAAACTACTTATAAGTAGCTCACACCACACAACTACCTTTTGAGGAAGAAACCATAAAAACATGCTGACGTGATACACGTTCTATAGATCATCAGACTGTACCACAATGCAAGCGATAATATCAGTAGGACTTGTAAACAGCTGTGAAAGAAAGCCTGGGATAGAATTGGCTGGAGATCTATGATCGATAGCCTTCGCCTTAAGAGGGCTAAGACGCGTAAGAATTTATCAGTGAATGAGGTCGATTAAAAGTGAATATTTCTTAATAATTACGATTTCTTTACAGTTAACTATTATGGAACTTGGAGCAAATAGACCATTTATTTGTTCAACATACTAAAAAGCGATTAAACTGTATACAAAATAAGACTCATGCTTTAACTCAAATGTCACAAATAATGTATTTTTGTATTTCTGAACTACGAGTAAAGAAACTTTTGAAAATATTTCTTGTCGAAAACGTCAGTTATTGGAATTACATGAAGTTTGGCATTATTTTTAGTTCCATTAATTGGTTTTCCGAAATCTTTGTACTTCGGTATATTCAAAGGTTTATGTTTATCTGATGTAGTCTCATGATCCAATTCTTTCGTTCTATCTAAAATTTCACATGTCTCATAGTTAGGTACTTCAGTTATTATGGATGCACAATTATCTTTATTTTCAGTTGTTTTTAAAATTTCTGTGCGCTTTATAGATGAATTATTGTTTTCCTCCTGAGGTTCATTGCTATAATTTGATTTGGGGCACGTTCTTTCTTGACTGTTTACATAATTTTGGGAAGTTTTATCGGGATGCGTTGTAGCAATTGTTTTTGATGTCTTGGATAATTGGAGTCGTTTCGGATTATCAGAAGATTTCCTTGATTTCGAAGGAAACCCTACAAAATGACAAGTATGTAATGTATGAAAGGAGTTTACTTTTTGTAAAGGATTATAAAATATGAATGTGTCTGGAAGATTGTTTAAAATTTCTCTGACCAGCAATATTAAAATTTTTTGGTCTAGATATTCATGCTACAACATTCCTTCGGAACAATACTGATAGCAGTAGAACAGTAAAAATTTTAATGGTATTGCAACACTCCTAACAAATAATCTCCTAAGGAAACCTGAATGGCTGAAGTAAAATAAGTATAAACTCCGTAAGGACTTCTAAGCGTTCGATTGTCCTGTTGCTGGTATAAATGACTACATTTGACTGACCTGTCTTAGAAATGTGCCGCTTCAGCAAGTTCCTCGATATTATGTCTGGCGATAAGTTTATAAAATGACGTGGTCATCTGGAATTCTATACCTAGCCAGGACCCAAAAATACTAACATGTTTATGAATTTTCGATAAAATGAATCATTTACGGGATATTTCAGTAATCTAAAAATAGTGACAGAAATAGATAAATGCGTCTACCCAATGAATATCCATAGACAAAAGAGATAACCTTGTAGAATATGTAATCTAAATTTATCTTGAATTATAGAATAAAATATTCTAATTCCAAATTAGGAAATAAATGAAATTATGAAGAAAATTACTAATCAGTAAAATAGTTCTAAGGTAATCCGATATTAGTGTGTATATTTATTTCACTAAATCTGAAAGGTGTGAGTTTTTCATTGAAGATAAATTCGACAATAGGTAGTCAGTTTAAGGTTCTGATGTATATCAACATCAGTAACACACCATAACAATTATATCCAGAATGTCTTGATAATTTTCATTTCGATTAACAATGAACATAGATGAAACGCGTTCTGTGATACTTATCCACTTTTACTTCATTTATTTTTATGGGCAGACAATCAATATTATATTTATTCAATTTTCACTCTGAAAGTACATCAAATTCAGTTCTGAATTTAAAAAGAGGAATGATAAAAACGATTACAATTACTGAAAAACTACTACTTAATGGTGCCAAGTATCATGTTTGAAAACGATAACCAGTAACTGCAAAATTCATGAAAAAATAATAATGAATAATAAATCTGTAAACTAAAGAACAGAATTCCAAATGTTACCTTTAGGTGGTCTGTCAATAATATCTGGTCCTTTGGGACGTACAAATAGTCTTTGTTGATCTAACTGATGCTTTGACAATTCAGTCGCTCTAATTCGTAATTGTTCACCAACATTGATTCGATAAAAGTAAATTCGGCTTGCAAGCAGTCTAGAAAATACAAATAAAAATGAAAAGAAAGTGTGGTGAGAGTAAATTTATGTCGAGCCTACAGGGCGAGCGTGCATTTGTTTATGTCTTACTGGAAAAATATCGCAAGGTAACCTCTTAGGGTTCTACTTAATAATAATAAAGCTAAGAATATATTTCAGAAACAACTAGAAAAACAGTTTGGTGGTCATGTAATAAGTGATGCGCACCCTGAGACAGCTTGGAACGATATCAAAAAAACTATGGAAGCAGCAATGATATCTGCTAGCAAGGTAAACCACAAAGTTAGAAAGAAGCCGTGGGTTTCAGTAGCATCTACCGAACTGATGGATGCTCGAAAACTCATCCCGTTTGGTTTTGAGGGCGATGAGGAGCGGAGTCAGCTTAGGCGCAGGTTATCCTTATACTTCTAACTAGAGCTCGTGAAGAGCGGACTAGAGCAAAGCAGGCTGATTTCAGACGTGGACGTGGATGTATAAACCAGATATTAACACTACATCAGGTCCTCGAATAAAGACACACGGTCAGACGCTTCACAATGATTGTATTCCTGGACCTTAAAGCAGCATTCGATTCTGTAGGTCGTGAGATCCTGAGGCAGTGTCTGTCATTAAAAGTTGCACCAAAGAAGTACATTACCTTTTACAGGCTCTCCACTCGAACAGTGCAGATCGAGTGAGAGTTTACGGTGAACTGTCATCGGCATTGATTACTTCACGTGTTTTCCATCAATGATGCCAATTTCTCTATTCTCGCTTAATTTTTACATAGACTTGCTTCTAGATATAACATTATCTTCGTCTGAATTTTGACGAGTAGACCCTCTACCAGCAGATTCACTGGTTGATTCAGAATATGGCGATGACATAGTTCTATTTGGTGAAGACGCTAACAAAATGCAGAGTCTTCTGACTAGTATATTTCTGACTATATATTTCCATGAAATGCAGTACAAAATTGACGTTTCCCATTTTTCTGACACATGTCTAACGTCATTTTAATAAAATGTTTAACTTTTCGAATCACTAGTACAATGAATGATTTATTCGGGTGTAATTCTATTTGTAAAACTAACTATTCTTCGAATTTTATTTTAACAGTGTAGCATTTCCAAATTATTAAGACAAACAAGAGTTTTAGCCTTGTTTACGAATACTTCGATAGCTTGAATTAGTCGTTTAGTATAACTGATAAAGACTATATTCACTTAAACTTCAACGAGAAGTGAATTTGTTTATCAATAGTGAAATAAAGTCATCTTTACACATTCAAAATATGTTGATGACAATGATCAAAAGGTGTTTATGTAGTTTAATCAACATTACTAAAATAATCTGTTTTACCCATGAACTTTTGTAAACAGAAATAATTTGATTTTTATGAGCATGAATTAAAAGTAGAGAAAAAAATGAATAATATTAAAGAATTGATAACATTTTGTACCCTAGATTCCAACTTTTGGTTAAAGATAAAAAATGATAGAGTTTTTCTAACCTTTAAGAAAAATGTAAAACTCAAAAGTTCGCCTGACTTTATCAGAGTGATAAAGTGAAAGTATTCTATTGTAAGAAAAAGATTGAGGTAATAATTGATTTAAAGTAATTGATCAAATAGAAAGAGTTTTCGATGACTATCATTATTAGTTTATAACTTTCAGTGTCAGAAATTAAACATCACTTCACATTGGAACTTTGTAACTTTTTGCAATCTATAGCAACAGATTTTAAACTAGTTTTCAACTTTTTTCAAAATTTTACTTTTATCTTACAAAAATTATTGGACTCTAGTAATTCATAAATTTCGATATAAAACCAGAAATCAGCAGATTTTATTAATTTCAATAAGGCCGAGAATTCAGTGGAAAACTGTTCTATTATAGTGTTCATATAGAGAAAGTAAGCATTTCAGGAGGCTAGTTTGCCTAAAGTTTTTGTCAAGAACATAAAAATCCAAGTGAAGCGCATCAAACTTTGTAGTATAAAATATGTAACCATTAATTATCTAAACTATTTATCAAAATATTAAAGCACAAGAGAATATATTCAACAAAAAAAGTGGATAGATTCGTTTCAGAATTCGACAATTTGTAATTTGAATAACAATCTAGAATGTCAATGGTCTAAATCCAATAAACTTTAAGACAAACAACAGTTTCTGATATACAGGAGTTTAGCTAAAACAACGAACTAATTCAAACCTACAAAAGTGATTTATTTATGGGAATATAAGACAACTAATAACAGACAGAATCATTCAAGCTTAACATTCTAAAAAAATGTCATTTTGCAGTATATGTGAGCAGACAACCAATTGTTGCTTGATTTTTTATCTAAACTTAGTTTTTAAATAGTCTTTTGTATATTAGACTCGAAAATTGGTTAACTCCAGTGACAACTGACTAGTTATCTGAATGGTACTTAATAATTATGACTTACTTATAAGTTATTCTGTCAGTTCTCTCCGGATCAATATACTTGATCAGAATTTTGATATCGTCTGGATTTAATGGAATTTGATTTTTCTGTAATTAAAACATAATCAAACACTTCTTAAATGAACTGCTGTCAGTTAGTTGTGTTTGTCAATAACGACATCACAATGAAAACAGCTAGGTAAAATTGTAACGGCTACACGAGGTTTTATTGTTGTGTAATCAGACTGATTGGTCTAAAATTACTTGAAGTGACAAGATGTAGAAAGTGAACAACAAACATCCAGAAAATATAAGGTTCACAAGTAAACAAATCGAGTTTATTTATACATGATAGAAAGGGCCTTGAGAGAGCCACAAAAATATCGTACTAAAATAATGCATCAAACAATAATAGCCAAGGATTTTCCGGGTGGGAAATGAAATCTCGATGCAAACTGATCAGCCCGTGCGCTCAAACATAAAATCCAAAATTAAGACCCTTATCAAACGAGTTCTGGGAATCTAACTTCCCCAACAAGAATCCAAAACTTAAATCAATTAAATGTTAGAATTTTTTCACCCCGTTATGGTCATCGATTTTAACCTTAAGCACATTAATGTTACTTGATATCATTGGCCGAAGATCCGTGAAATCTGAAGGCTGTAAGTTCGACCTCTGTTAAGGTTATAAGTGTGTTTTAGTAAGAAAAAGCTCTGTAGTGTCCCTTATATTTCAGCGGCAGCTCAAATGAGATAACTTTCCACTGACTACATATACAAAATCAAAACAATCTTTACACAGTCATTCCGTTTATAAGCATAATGAAATCATAGTGAATACGAGTCAGTAAAAACATCTTTCAAGTTTCGTCGTAATCACTGCACCTAAAACATTCATATTCTTAAAATGATCTTTATTATTATTCATGCATCAGTAGACATATTTTTAATATTTGATAAGTACTTGATACATTATCACAAACCTATGTAACTTACAATCATTCTTTCTGTAAACTGAGCTTCACTTATCACTCCGGTTTGTTGGGGATCTAACAATTGGTATAAATCCAATAGGCGCATTCCATGCCTACTAAGATAATTTATTAAAAATGTCATCGGATCTGTTTTACCTACATTCAGTGAACAAAACAAAATTATACGTAAATCAAAAGTTTGTAAAATTATTGATCAACCTTTTTCCAAAAGGAGATTATGAAAAAACAAAAGCGATATGCGTTTCTTCACAATCTTATGAGCAAATTTGAAATGCCTGTTGTACCACAAATTATCTTTTATTGATATTCTGAAGAGTTTCCTATGTGCACAATTACTTCATGGTAATAATCTCGAAGATTGTATCTTTGACAGAATGATAAATCATCATGGATTGATCACTTTGAAATGTAATTAGATTTTACCAGTTTACAATAGTCATTGAATATTTATTTGTATTAAACCTAGTTTTTCCAGACAATTTGATAATGAGCTTACTTATCTGTTGTAACTTTATATAAGTAATACTATTTATCGCATAATGATGAAAATAATAGCGGTAAGTTTATTCAATTTTGTAAATTTTCTCACAGCAAAGAATTTTTACAACCATTTACGTAATATGTTAACGAATTTTTCTTTAACATGTATTCAAAACAGGTTTTTACAAATAGACATCTGTTACACATATTCACTCAATAAAGATTTAGGTTAATCAGGCTGCTGTAATTAAGTTTTCTGCTTACTTCTTAACAATATACAGGTAACATTCAATAAATTAAATGAGTCAGGAATTTCAGCTAAATAAATCAACAATATCCGCTCAAATCTACTGAGAAATTGCAGAAGCAAGTGACCGCAAAAATTTAGATCGTATAGTTTTTTTTCTAGAATTCAACATCTCCCAGAATACGAATAATTCTATATTTAGGTCCATTGAACTAGAGGCTTTGTTTTGTAAAACCTTAATTTTTGTTATGACGAATAAATTATAGAGTGATTCAAAAAGAAGTGCGCCTAAGTAGTACTGTAAGCTGATAATTTAATTTTATATTAAGTTATTTAATTAGGAATAAGGGATAAATAAGTTCAATCTTAGCCAATAATACACTTTGACTAGAAAAAGTTCATTTATTTATTAATAAACAACCATGACCGTTTCGTGTTTAACAGACCAATAAATCTAGAGAAATGAAACAATCATATAATAATGTTGTTTTACGCCAAAGTCAATAACAATAGTCTGGTATTTTATTTACCCTGTTTATCTCTTACTGTTTTGATTAGCAAGTATAAAATTAATTGCAACCCGATGAAACGTGGAAATTATTTGATAACTTACTGTATTTCCCGTAACGAGTTTCCCATTTAATACATTTGGCAACTTTTAATACAAAATGTCGTTTACGACTGATACGATGTGCTTGACGTGAAATATTTTCATTAATTGTTAACCCCTAACATTATAAAAAAAAGTCATTAAGTTTTTAAAATAACCTTTTTCAGAAAATTTAAAATATATGCAACAGTGAATAACAGTAGTATAACATCAGCCTTTATCAGGAGAATAATTAGTGCAGATTTTTGATATTTTATCAAACAACGAATTATTTAGTTATTTTCGAATATCATAAACTTTGCTATATGTCAAACAGATAATTAACATAATGCTTGCTAGAATTGTTTACTAACTGGTATTACCCAAGAAATAATGGTGTTTAATAAAACTTGGAAATAAAGAAGAGAAACAACTTGTTATCATCCTGTTGAGAACTGATTAAACTGTATGAAAAAGCACAGTCACGTTTGAGAAATACTAAATATTTAATAAAGAAACATCATTAACTAATTTAAGAACATAAATTAGTTATGTTATAATTACTTACTTGAGCGTGTTACCCCGAATGAAGCATAGGTCACTGATCAGAGTTCTCCGAATTACTTTATCTTTGACCTTCCTTTCTAAGTCTGTCTAATTGGTGTTCATTCTTTTCATGTGTTGGTTGGCATTCCTCACTTCCTTTGACCCTAAGGGTTCTAATTGAGGGCCTGATTTGTGACGCCTTTGAATGCCTTCCTCAATGTGTGTCCTATCCACCAACTCCAGCGCTTCATCCTGATTTCCTTCTCCGCTGCCATCTGGTTTGTTCTCTCCAACAGTAAGTTGTTGCTGAAGGTGTCTGGCAAATGGATCCGAAGTATTATGCGTAGACAACTGTTAATGAATACTTGTATCTACTGAATGTTGGTTTTGGTAGTTCTCCAAGTTTCCGGCCCATGCAGTGGAACTTTCTTGACATCTGTATTGATAATTCTGTTTTTGGTGTTGTTTGATAGTTGTTTTGACTTCCAGATGTTCTTCAGTTGTAGAAATGCAACTCTTGCTTTACCGATCCACCCCTTCAAATCTGCATTATATCCACTTTGATTTTCAGTAATGCTGCCAGACATGTAAGGGTTTTTATGTCCTCCAAAGAATCTTCATCAGTTGTGATTTGGTTGGTGCATGTTGTGTTGCTTCGGAGAATCTTGCGTTCCCCCTTGTATGTTGCGACCTGCTGCTGCTGAGGATGCTGCTACACTGGTTGTCTTCTGTTGCAATTGTTGTTGCGTGTGCGACTGAAGAGCTAGATCATCTTCAAAGTCCAGATCGTCAAGCTGCATTCTAGCTGTCTAATGTATCCCGTGCTCCCCTCCAAATGTTGACATCTTCATAATCCAGTTGATCACCAGAAGAGATAGAAAGATTGAGAGTATGGAACCTTGCCTGACACCGGTCTTCACCTTGAATGAGTCTGTTAGCAGTCCTCAGCGCATGATTTCGCAGTTTATTCCATCATAAGAATTCCGTGTTATTGCAACTTGGTCGATAGACGGTCGATCCTTACGAAATCCAGCCTGTTGATCTCGAAGTTGGGCGTCTGGGAAGTCCTTCATTCTCTTTAACAATACCCTGTTGAAGAATGCCTGGTATTGCGAGAAGAGTGATGCCTCTGTAGTCCTCACACTTTTTCAGATGGCTTCCCTTTAGTATTTTGATGAGGCATCCTTCCTTCCAGTCTGATGGTATTTGTTCCTCATCTCAAATCTTGTTGAAGAGAATGTGAAGTATTTTTGCAGTTGCTGCAACGTCTAATTTCATAGCCTCTTGAATTCGTTGAGTTTGTCAGTATCCCGAAGAAAGGTTGTATTAAACTTTTGTGATTTTGTTTGCTCCGTTGCCAAGTGCCTCTTGGAATCACATAGTAAATTCTGTATAAAAATTTGTTACAGTTTAAACCAAATCCTATGAAAGATCATTTTTAGTCAAATCACCTCCTAACAATTAGAGTTACGACTTTCAAAGTTTTCACCCTGTTTAATAAACTTCATGATAAATGTTTGTTCAATTAAACATGCCCTATATAAATAAGGATTTTCGAATTTTAATTATAGACATTCAGACTACCGGAAAATACTACGTATGATATTCTTTCACATAAAGTCTGTCATATTTTATAATCTTTTGTTGAATTGGAAGTTTGATTTAGGCAAGTTGATAATCCCAACAGATTTATAAAATGATTGCTAGGAAAAATCTGGTTAACAGTAAGTGAATTTACAAACTAAGAATCGTTAAACATCTTGTAAAACTACAGTGTTTTGAAGTACTCAACTGAAGTGAATGCAATGAATAGGGAACAAATTGCATTCTTTCATATTACTACAGTAAGTTAATATGAAAGTTTTCATATATTGAAATCAAATTCTTAAAAAACACGGAATTCATTCAATTTTTGATGTGCATATACAATCTTTACATTTTACCCAAGTTACATATTTTTCCGAATAATCTCATTAGTTTGTCAGTAAACTAAGTTAGTGTTTAGCTGTTTAGACAAAGTAATCGGTAGTAGAAAGTACCTATACAATTTATTCATTTATTGTCTTGTACTTGTCCTTAGTACTTTTCTTGTATCCAGGACCTGATGACTTGACAATTATGTTCTTGAATAAATCCCATTATTCCTGCGCATGCAAATTTGACATCTTCTAGATACATAAAAAATAATTAAAGTTATAACGGTCTACTAATCATGACTGGATTTAATGTTACCAGATGTTTATAGTTAGACAAGTGTTAAGAGCAAGTAATAAAATATAAACATACTTCTAAATCTAATTCTTCAATCATACATTTTGATGAGTTCCCAATCACATAAATTAATTCATGAATACCAGCCATTGTCAATGGATTGAAACCAAGCTAGATGATTGTTAAATTTAATTGAAAAAATCAATCTAATAATACATTTTCCAAATTGATAATCATATTGATTTATTCAAGAGGGTTTTGTGAATAATTTAATTCAATGCTCACTGAGAACAGTAAATTATAATGGAATAGTAACTGATAAACATTACTGTATATTAGAATCAATTTTCAACCATTACGATTTAAATTTTAAGTTTATTAACTATTCATCTCATTTTATTAATTATGACCTTGTTTGATATAAATGAGTTTCAAGAACACGTGAGAGATTATAATATGTCAACTATTGAACAAACTGTTGAGGACATTAGATCCCCAGAACTCATTTGATAAAGGTCCTCATTTTGGATTTTAAGCTTTCGCTCAAGGGATAATCGTTCGTATTGACATTACATTTCCAACCCGGAAAATCCTTAACTGTCATTAGTTGATGTGTTATTTTAGTACGATATTTTTGTGGCTCTCTAAAGGCCTTTTCTATCATGCATAAATAAACTCGATTTGTTTGCTTGTGAACCTTATATTTTCTAGATGTTTGTAGAATACACTTTCCGCGTCCTGTCAAGAGTTCTTCTTCTACTTAGTGGGACATTGGGACGCTCGTGTTAGAATTGTCTATCGTGTCACTGGATCATTTGTCTTCACTCTCGTTTACCGAGTGAGGTGAACTCATAACAGTTTCACATTTATCAACAGCATTATAGATAAATTGAAGTAAGCAAAACCAATGTGATGAATTTATGCAGTTTCCACATATTGAATTAACTGGCATTAAAGATGATAGGCTTAGATTTCATTCACGTGTAAAAAAGAAAACATTCTATCTCAACTAATCCTAAAAAATTAATTGTAACTTTTCAACAATTTCTCTTGAGGTTATTACTTTTTTATTTTCAAAATGATAATAAAATTTGCTAATAGTGAATTACTTGAAACTAATCACTTTAATGTTCTTAATTAACAAGATACAAATAATTTACAAGGAATGAGAGTTCAAATTCAAACCTTAAGCATATTTAGGTTTTTGCACTATGAATACTATCCAATTTTTGTAAAGCTCTTAAATTAAAGTTAAGCATGTCATCAGCACAGAATGCTGACGTGATGCATAATCTGTCACATTCAATCATCATAATCATTACTTATCATTCCATTTAGCCACATTACCGTGTGATAAAAAAAATTAATTGTATCATTAGAATAAAATAATAGTGTGTTCCAGTATTACTCACACATAATTTCTTTAAAGATTTATTTGTGTATAGACAATCTGCAAATAAGATAATACTCTTTAAATCAATACGATTGTATTTTAAGTTCAATTCCTCCAAATGACAATTTTGAGTTAAACCTTTGCCAAGATTTTCCAAACTTTTGCCATTGAATCCATTCCAAGAAATATCTAAGTACTTAAGTGAAGTATTGAACTTTAAAAAAAAAGAGAATGCACATATGGAAATATCAATTAGAAATTAACAAATCTACTGACTTCTTGATAAAATAGTTCATTCTTACAAGCCTTCCTAGTATACAAACTAACCATGTCAGTATGAATTTTAGTTTCAGTTTCACTGTCGTGACCAATGAAGTTCAACCTATTCCGGTGTAGACAATAACTATCGAAGACAGTGTATGAGGTTGCGCAATTCCTTGAATTTATCGAAGTTAGACACTAACACCGTTAAGAACCGGGTCAGTGGCCCAGAGGTTAGATGTTTTCACCTAAGACCGGAGGTCCTAGGTTCGAATTCTGCGAGGTGCAGGAGTCGTGGATGCACACTGTTGATAAGTCCCATACAACGACGACATGGCTATCCAGTGATTCCAGGTTTGTAATGGTAGTCTAACATTGCTCTATTCATGATTTCAACAAATTAAATGTATTTCTCCCTTAGATAGACCACTTTTCATGTTTATAACAAAAACACCATCACTGCACTGTCTAACTGGCACTTGAGATGAATCGAAGAAAATCCAGTAATGTTTTTTTTTTGAGTGAATATATATACAGTAGCATATGAAGTAAAATAAATTCAACAATAGATAGTAACTAGAAAATCCGCTATATAATAAATTTTCTAGTACATTCTATCCTGATTTCTAAAACGTTTAGCAAATAAGTTCATTTAACAACAACAAGTCATTTTGATTTCTTCAATGTTTTTAATAATAACCATTTGTGTCATAGTTAAACGTACCTCTAATGAATTCCCGAACTCAAAAGCTCCATCTGAACGTATTTGATTCCAGTGTAAACTTAGCCATTGCAAATTGATGCTGTTAGCTATATTATTTAAAAAAATGTTATTATATTATTATTATCATTAACCTACCTAATACTTTTGCAATTTCTAAAGCTCCTTTACATCTGATAAGATTCTTCGATAGATCTAACATTTTTAAACGCGTATTTTGCTGGAAAATTAAATACAAATATAATATACATACCTTACATGAAAGACCGATTCTAGTTTAACAGCCACTGAGTTCCAGAATACAATGAACAGCTGTTTCGTCCTAATATGCGACCCCTTAGAAGTATGTATCGATATCCTCAACAGGAATGGAACCTAGGACATTCTATCTCACGGGTAGCGTAGTGCACGTATTTCGAATTCATTGTTTTATACCAATGTTCCCTGGTTTTTTCCACTAAACAGCTACCTGTTGAACTATGCATATTTTTCGAGATCATCTACGAATTTATTTTTATTATTATGTTAATTTATAAGGCTTTTTTGATAGTGTTTTGTACTAACTGATTAAAAAATTCAGATTCAACAAAACAGAATTACATGATTGTCTTTGGTTAAAATACAACCATTACGTTCCAATTTTATTTGATGAAAGTGTAGTAGGATTACTTAGATACAAAGATAAAAGGGATTTTCACAACTTTTCGGTTCTTTGTTTTCATAATTAAATACTGATTTATTCAACGAATTTGTTATTCGTTCATGCTTCTAATAAATCCTTTCAGATTTACAGATCAAAAGTTAAACTTAAGGGTAAATTTTTGTTGATATTATTCTAAAAAAGTGAATTTGGCACAAAACATGCGTCCATTAGTAGTAGGTCAGACAAAATAAAACAGAGATTTTCTAAAAATATCCAAGAATAAAATTGTAACACAATAACAGTAGCATAAATGATCGACAAAACAGTCAACCAATAACTTGGCTGAAAAATAACCTGTTCTTCTCTTGCATATTCTTAAAATCCTAAGCAGATACATTTTTAGTTATTTTTTTATGAAAACATGTTTTGAAGTGTCTGAAAACACTAAATCGGGCTAACCCTTAAACTAAACAAAATCTTGTTATGCATCTTCTGGAGAATAGTATTACCCAAATGTTAATTGACCATAACAACTGGTTATACTGTAAATTTTGTTGACCAGTATGCCCTGAACGTAACCATATAACCCAATCAAGTTGCACTAATGAAGCGATGAAGAATAAATGTTGATCAACATTTTTAGTTAAGCTTGATCAGGTTAAACAAACAAAATACTTTTATACATCGGTTCATGTTCTTGATGATTTTCACATATTTTACTGCATATAAGCAGCAATTTTGTAAGACAGATCATGTCTTAAAACACTCACAGTACTGTTACCAATACTAATTCCACAAGCTTACCAGCTAGACAAAAATTTAAAGCGAATAAGTTTAAAAATTCATTTTTCAATGGGAATTTAATCCTCAATGAGCACCATTTAGGGAAACAAACTTGTTCGTACTCATTCTACACATGAGTCTCTTCCCATATTTATTCGTTGGAAGCAAATTAAGTATTTTATCAATCGTAAGCACATTATATAGTTTAAAAAATCAAAGGAAATGTGATTTATTTGCCAAGTAGTTTAAACTATCTGGTGTCGGTACATTTATAGAAATAGAACAATTGATTTCTACAATCATTCGAATGCCATATTTTCAGACGTTGACATTATACGCAACATGCATATTTTTAAAGAACAATTATAAATATACAGTTCATTGTTCTTAAATTTCTAACCCCAAGTATTTTGAAAATTAGTGAACTTGATTTATACCAAAATTATATAAAATTTGCCAATGTTTACTTACTCTTAAACCACTAGCAATCATCCCTGCACCTGTATCGTTTATTCTTGCATCTAAAATTAGACATGGTGGAGAAAAATAATTTATTTTAAGAAGACAATTGAAACTCTACTAGAATATTTGATTTAAACTTAAAAAATCTGACAGATATTTCTAGAGAGAAAACGATAAACCATGGTAAATAGATACTTTTACATTATGTAATTGAAATTTTTGCCAATAGGTAATGAATAATGAATTTTGTAGTAGAAATAATAATTATCACTTAATTTCTCTACTATGTTTTTTCTCCTAGTTTATTAGCACTGTAAATTAACGTTTTCACCGTGAAATATTAAATGAAATAGATGAGAATATGATAACAGTAATAAGACATCTAGCATCAGTTATCTCAAGTAATACAATAAAACTATAGTAATTCCATGTGTTATCAGTTACTAGCCAGTAGGTTATCCAGGTTAAACGAGACAATGAACATCAACCTATTGTTTCATACATAACCTCTCTATGGAAACAGCCATCCGTATAAAGTGCTACATTATTACTTATTACCTACTTCAAACTCGTTTATTTCTTTAAGCCTGTCATTAGTTGTTGTTTTCTTTATCAGACAGTGAGATATCTTTAGAAATGGTTAGGCATTTTCCTGATTGCTGTTAGTCCTTAGGAAACCAAATTAAGGAATAAAGTTAACTCAATAGACTATCACTGGTTTTTTAAGTGAACCAAATTTTTTTATTGAAAATCAGACTAAAGTGAAGTATTTGAAATCATCGATCAATAATTGTTAGACCACCGTTAGAAACCTGAAAGCACTGAACAGCCGTTTCGTCCTAGTATGGGACTAATCACCGTTGGATACCTGCCTAGTGGTCCAGGGATTAGGCGTTCTCACTCAGGACCGAAGGTCTCGGGTCCAAATCCTGAGAAGTGCAGGAGTCGTGGATGCGCACTACTGTTGAGTCTCATCCCAAGACGAAACGGCCGTCCAGCTCTTTCAGGTTTCTAATAGTGGTCTAACAATGATTGATTGGTGATTTCAAATGTGTTGAAACAATGATCTCCATAACTTTAATTGAAGAATAAGGTGAAGTAGAATTGTAGCTCATTTACCTTTCAATATTAAAGTATCCATTTGAGTGTTTTTCTTTAATATCAACTGTAGAAGTTTGAGAGCTTCTTGATTCAAGTGATTACCAGAGAGGTTCTGTTGGAAAAAATAAAGTGCGATCACAGGCGACATTCAAAAAAATCTGAAATTATCAGGTAAATATGAATATCTTCGATAAATAAAGATACACTACTTATATCAAGATAGTAATATTTCTCTAATTAATAGATTTACATTGACAGTAATCGCGTTGGCGATTCCAATCATAAATCCATTCAGATTAGATTTTAATAAAATGTTTATCGTCCGATTTATTTGAGCTATTTCTGTTCTATGTATTTCAGTTATTCATACAATGATGGCTTACAAAGACCCTATCAATTACTTCATCACTCCAAATTTAGCTAAATCATTCAATACCTTGATTTTGCTTCGGAAAGATCATGAAGTAGAAAATACATCACAATGTTCAAGTACATCCCTCGAATATGGTCAACATCCAGACATAATGCTACTATACATGTGTATATATTTGTCTTTTAAAATTATTTTCTTAATGACTAATTTCTCGCTTCCATGAGCAATTGCAGGTATTTATATCATTATTATTACTCGCAAAAATTTTTATCGTTAAAAATATTCAAACAAGATATCTAGTAAGAAGCATACCGCTTCACAAAATAACTTTAGTTATGAATGTAGACAAATGAATATCTTATAATTAATCTTCAGGCACCCTATCACAAGATATTTGTATCATACGTTTTGATATGATCAAAGTCAACTGCTATGTTTCAATACTAGAAAGAACTAACTGTCACTACCTACATGTTTTGAACTATTCTGCAACCAGTATCATTTCACTAGTTAAAAGTATAAAAAACAGAAATTAATTTAACATTATATTAACAACATACAATATGTTTAAGAAATGCGAATTCTTCCAATAAATCTTTCACTAATGTTAGCCCATCATTTTCAAAATCATTATAGCTCAGATCCAATATTTCCAGTTCATTAAATTTCTGTTAGAATAAATAAATAATTACAAAGTATTTCATTAGGAATAAACTTTATATAAAAAGTTCACAATGCAGTGGTGACAAATAAAACTTGGTCATGATGCATAATTTACTTGATTTCGCTGTTTTTAAACAGCTCTTTTTGTCATGACTACAATGTTAACTTACGTCTGTTTCAATATATTGTTGACCTATGGAATTTAAAACTGAAAACAACCGGTTAATTTGAATAAAATCTCTAGTGATCAAATTAACAACTTGAATATTTTTAATGACAATAAGGGGAATGAATTACCCTTCAGAATTAAGTGTTAGTCGCTTTCACGAACAGAAAATAAAGAAATTTATATAATCTCCATTTTAGAAATTTTTCGTTGTTGGAGAGCTCTAAAAGTCTCTCAGAAATGTCTATAGAAGCCCAGTATTACCAGATGTTTCATCTAATCATCATTGAATAGAAACTTCGCAGAATCTTGTAGGAAAGTTTTAGCCATACAGCTCATATATTAAGTATGGTGCCTTTATCTCCTAGAAGCCGTTATGAGTTACTCTATAAATACCCACTTTTCTATACATAAACTAACCCTGGATTAAAGGGTTATTTTCGTACACTGCTCTTTTCCTCTTGAGTTCACTTTGTATTGTATACTTATTCTGAGGTTAATAGAAGTGGATTCATATATTGCGTTCATTTTGCAAACTTATCATTTGTACACTTCGTTTACTAACAGAATGATAATTATTTATTAATATAATTTGTTAAATAGCATCAATGAAATATTCCACTTTAAAAATTTCTTTACTTTTATAAGATTAATTGAAGGCTCATAAAGCAAATTGACTAATACGACGAAAACCTGTTTAAATTTGGACTAAGATGATTCATATTAACAAACATTTACTTGGTAATAAAAATAAATAATAATAAATTCTTAACAACGTTTCTTCAGCATTTTTATTATTTGCTTTCTTGTTTGTACTAGTTGAGTAGCACCCAATCCCGAATTGCCTGATCATTACATTCTATTAGACGGTTTACTATGCGTCCACTGGTTTAGACAATTTGAAATTGTACTATTCTTTTTTGAATTCTAAACCTTAATTCCATAGATGTTAACGTCTCTGGCTTTAAAGTTCAGAGAAATACAAGTATCATTCTCCTGACTGATAAGTGACAGCCATCACCGAAAGTGTATTAACTTGATGCAGAACAATTACTGGTTGAAACATGAAATCCCGATGTAAAAAAATTACATAAAATTTATAAGAATATCATCAACAATAAACAACTTTTAAAATACAATGAAAAACTAAATATATATAAAGTAAATAGTATATATTGTGTATATTTATATTTTCATGGGTTTCAGTGGTACATTATCTCCTAAACAAGTTCATAGTTTTAGTTGATGAATTGATACCTATGGCGTCCCTAGGCAACTTCTCGGCGGAAATCAGTTATAAATCATCTTAAGATGTGACTGTCAGAATTCCTTTTGGAAATTCAATTACGAATAATGATATTAGTCATCTCAAATTGTGGTATGAACTTTAATGAAACAATAGATTATCAACTAATATGGATGAACTAATATCTTCAAAAGATTGTATTATCTGTAATTACTATCGTTTGACAAAGGAAAATCAAACGCTCTGTGGTCTCAACTTTTCTCTTGTTTTATAAAACAAAATGACTCCCAATACAAAAGAGTTACCATTAGAAAAATTTTTTCAGCTCATTTCTGAGAAGTCGAGCTTGATAACGATTGAACTGGGAATATATTCATTCCTTCCGTTAGGAAAATGAGAGTTTAGTGTTTTTTTGTGTAAGCATTTCTCAGTAGGTAAATTTGCGTAAATTTACTATTAAATAACTTATTTAAAGTAATATATTCTGATTATTTTCTCTAAACTAAACTGTATCACATACTGGATAAGTATATCAATGAATATTTCCTCGAATGACTTGTTAACCCAAGGAAAACATTTTAAAAATACCCTGAACACTTCCTCACTTATGTGACTTATTGTATGAAACCTATGCTAAATCATCCGCTACAATTACATTGCACTAAAGATTTTATTTTTAGTGGACATTTTCAACCAATCTACATAATTATATATTTAAGATTATAAAAAACTATGAATTGCGTATAAACAGAAAAACAAAATGAACAGAGCATACTTTCAAGAATTTAGCCACTGGTTTAAATTTTAATTTACTCAAGTGCAATTCTGAAAAATTCATATATTTTGATGTACACAATTTTTCTAACCGATTCACAACAGATTTTAACGTATTACATTTCAATTTATTACAATTTTCTCTATAATGATCAACTAATGTGCCAGGTCCATTCATGATTTTCTGAACTAGTAGCCTGTTTGAAATTTGTTTAATTGTTGCACTATCCTCATCTGTTTCATCAGAAATATCTTCAGAAGACCATGGAGGCGTGAGTGTAAAATGACTCATTTCAATTGAATGACATGGCCTATCTTTGACTGATTCATTTAAGACGTTATTTAATGAGTCAGTATTTTGTTTTTCATTGATTTGTGGATTACTTTCAGATAATTTGATTGTTGGATTTTTTTGTTTTGTTAATATTGCATTTAGTGTGTATTTGTAAAGGCTGTCATATGAAGGAGTCTTATAGTCAATAACTTGTTCTGATTCATCTAAATTTTTAATCCATTCAGTTGAACATTCTTCTTCATATTGATTGATTAGTTTAGTAAAATTAATATCTATGTAAAAAGATGGGGTGGAAAAGAGATAGATATATTTAATTAAAAAGGAATCACAATAATATTTGAATATCATAGTAAATAGCTATCAAATAATTCTTAAGTTCAGTTATCTGTAATTTTATAAACATGAACACTTTTTTACATGAACTTAAATAAAAGTTATTTTAATATATGTGATAATATCATATGTTACCATTTCGTAATTGAAGAAAGATTGTCACTTAATACAGAATGAACAAAATTTCCATTAAAAAACATTATTGATTACTTTCAGAAATTATATTATATCCATTGTACTAAGTATTACAATAACCAACTAAAAACTGTAAAGATAATAATCACAAACTATTTTCTAGCCTAAATTATTTGTAATCACATTACATAAAACTATGATCAGTTTTAATCCTAATGTTATACTACTTCAGTGAAATAAAGTTAATCTTTTACATTAAAACGTTCAATAAAATAACTGCCTTGTGTAGAAATGTATCAAAACATTTTTGAACTTTTTGAAATTACAATCTCATTCAATAAACCTCATAATACCAGTTTGTTTCGTATATTTTCACAAAAAAAAATAAAGTACTTGAGAAAGTATTCTGTTTGTGAAAATTTGTGAAAATAATCAAAAGTTAACTTTGAATGTGGCATATAAAAACACATTGATCTTATTTATTTTATGAAAATAAATTCACATAACCATATAATAATATTTTCTTAATGAGTATTATCAGTAACTTATTGACCAAAATATCTGTATAAGTTGGATCACCGGAGAAAACCTGGAAGAAGTGAATGACTCTGTCCTCTTATTACGGGACTGACCAAGTACAAATAGATGCAACTCAGTAATCTTCAAAATCTCTTGCTGAAAACATTTGTAGTTTATAGAAAGATAAAATATCGATTCCGAACAGATTATTACATAACAGTTTAATCAACAATCAAATTAACTGTTTAAAGTTTAGATTTAACAAATAAATTTTTGGATATGATCATGTGAAGATTGTAGAATTTTTATACTTCACATCATAGACTGATCTTGGCTACACAACCGTTAGAAACATGGAAGGATGAGAAAGTAGTTTCATTCTAGCATGAAACTCTTCAGTGCTCCATGGTTTTCAGTGATTGTCTACCTTACGATCAGCCGGTTTTGTAAATTATAAAAATAAGTATGTCATCACACATCCTACAAGTTACCGCTCATAAGCAAAAACTGAAATTTATAAATATCCTCCAACAAAATGTGATTACTTATCATTACAAACGTTTTGAAAGCTTTTAATTATCCGAAATTGTGTTGTAGAAAATACTCAAAACTTTAAAGCTTCAACTATCTTAATAAATAAATTTCAGTTATCGGACAGCGAAAACACTGATAACAATTTAAAGAAGCTTTTCAAAAGAGTGAGTTATGACACTAGACGATTAACACTCATAAATAATTAGTTGAAAACAATCTTAAAAGAGATAAATGTCCAGTAACATTGAAACAGTTGGCAAATATATGATATAGTAGTTTTAGCAGGCTGTCTATATTACCATTAATAATAGTTCTAATGTAATTGTTGCTAATAAGCTACCTCAAAAAATTCTGGAGAAAATTGATCAAAACAAACTCTTCAACAGATGAATGGAAAACCAGTGACCAATCATAATCAAAAATAATAATGTTAGATGGTCGTAGAAAGTAAGCAGGAAACCCTAAATCTAGGTATCAATCGGCACTTTCAGCAAGTTTAACCCGCAGTCTTGAGGATTATATATATATATATATATATATATATATATATATATATATATATATATATATATATATATATATATATATATATATATATATATATATATTATATCACCCAATTTCACAATCTAAGATATTACCAGTGAACTTATAGTGCATGATAGTGTGATCAACAGACTTTGACCAACACTAAAGGACTTTGACATTAGTTACTAATCAATGACCAATCAAGGTCAATATATTTGGTATTCGATAAAATCAATATTAGTCGCTAATTTTGTAAGGAAATCCCACAAGTCCACAAAAATCTTTACATATATATACATATATACCCAATTGATATATTTAGCACTTTGTGTAGTTCAACGGCTGATATGACCACAAACGAACATTGAATGAAGAGACTCCAAAAAACAATGAATAATGAACAGAAACTAGTATACCATTGGCTCTAGTGATTTGCTTCCATTCACTAATGCACTTACAACTGTATTTACTACTGTAAAAATATGCGCATCTATTGTATTACAAATTTAAACATGTTAGTCCCAAGAACAATCTAGTAACACAGATGGAACTAATAAAACAAATTGATCAGTTGTGTTTATAGTATGTTTATCTTCTGTAAAACAATACTATCTCTACTCCTTTCCAAGTGGTGTACATTCACTTCATTTTCAAAATAAATACAGTAGTAGGTCAAATTAAATTGTTGTATGGAATACTGTGTACGAAAAAATTTACACTGACCTGTTAGTTTGTGTAAATTTTCCAAATGATGTTTTAGAGCTTCTAATCTGTGAGAATTGTATTTATTAGGAGATGAAGATGATTGTTCTTGAATTTTTAAAACATTCATTATGTTTTCTTTTAACAATTCAATAAATACAAAAATTCGATCTTTTCATAGAATCTCAGTTGTTTCATTTTAATTGACTATAAAAACGAAATGTGTTAAAACTGTTTGAGTTTTCTCTATCAGATAAAATGTGATATTTATTTGCTCAAAAATAAAACCAATGGTATGTTAAAGAAAATATTAACCATTTCTTACTGGTTCGTTTTATGAATGTTTTAGAAAAAAATTATATTGATTATTTCCCACTTGAATGAAGATAATGAAGGAAATGCTTGAGTGTTACTTTAGATCTAGTGGTTTTGAAATATACAATTACTAGTTGGAACCAATAAAAAATGTCACTCATATTTTAAAAAAACTGGTTATGTTTTCTGGAGTGTTCGGTTTAATTTGTAGATGATCTTTCACGCATACAAATATATTATTCTTTACGATAACTACCTCACTATTTAGCACATCAGCTCAATTCCGAAATAATTCTTATCCTAGTATTGGAAACCATTAACAAGGAGCCCCCAAGACTTTCTACTACCCATTACTAGTTAATTTACGCAATGGCTTAGCATAAGAGCACTTAATTACCAAATATTTTTATCGATTGCAAGGTATAACTGTTTATGAAATCAGAGTACAGACGAAATTCCTAACCATAAAATATAACATGTTTGTTATTTGTAATGTACAGTAATACTATTCCAATAAATAAGCAAGCCACAGTTCTTTTTCTCATAATTTTTTCTCATAGTAGATTAGTTAAAAGTTTTAAACAATATATCCGAGTGCATCTTTGGGTGTGCAATATGAAACATCCTCATTGTGAGCAACAGATATTCTTCGCCATCTTGAAATGAAAGCGAGTAACTATTCATGAGAAGACTATTTGATAATGGTAATAATAATAATAATAATAATAATAATAATAATATTAATTTACTATACTTATTTACTTAGGCCTGTTACTCCCAATGAATCATAGGCCGCTGACCAATATTCTTTAACATACTCTATCCTGCGCCTTCCTTTCCAGTTCGGTCCAATTGTTGTTCATTCTTCTCGTCTGTCTCCATTTCTCAGAGTAATGTGTTCCTTGGCCTTCCCCTTTTTCGTTGGCCTTGGTTCCAAATAAGGATCTGTCTTGTGTGTCCTATCCGCCTGCAGCGCTTCTTCTTGATTTCTTCCCCCATTGAAATCTGATTTGTTCTCTTACAATAACAACTGAAAAATTATTCAAATTTAAATCTTATCGTACAAATGTCCAATTTTCTGGTTAGTTACACGTCATCATGTCATACCTACAATAATGTTTTAAATATTTCTTTTCAAAGCTAACAAGCTAATTTATTCTCTACAAGTTATACAGTATGTCTAAAATCATTTAAAATTTCCGATTCGCTCATCACTTTAAGGTGATGTATGTCCATGTCAAACCAATATTTGTATTATTAACAACATTAATTACTTGTTCTCTTTCACTTTTCACTGGTAATTACATCGTTGTAGCTTAACTAAGCCTAATTGTGTAATAAAGAGAGATGTTATACAGTCAAATGTATAATGATAAGTTCCAGTAAGCTGTATATCTACAAACTCTCGGGTTATTAATGTTTCAATGAACAATATTTTCATAGTTTTACTACACCGTATTGATATTCTATGCAGTTAAATATTTCCCTTGATGAAGCTTTTTATTTTTCAACTATGTTGTCGATTATCGCGAATAAGCTCACCTGGTATTCTAAGCTTCATTTTGTTCATGTCATTTACACTAATCACAAGAGTACACTGATGATTTTCACAATTATCATTTAATTTCTCTCTTGTAAGGATTCAGTTGTAAAGATTTTAACTAATTTACTAGGTACAAAATGCATTTAAATAAATTATTGAATCAACTGAGTCTAAAGTACGCCTATTTTATAAAACATTCGTATCTCAACATTAAAAAGTTTCATAAATAATTTAGTTATCATTTAGTTGGTTTTACCTTGAATACTTTTTTAAACTGCTGTCAAATTATAAACAATCAGATTGATTCCCATACTTTGTTTATATCATACTCATTCAAGTAACTTCAGAAAAATCAATGTATTTAGATTTTGGGTGGTGATCTTTCTTTTAGCATAAAACAATTTCTCACCGGTTTGAATCTTTGCCTTTTATCTTTTATCGAGATGTAACTGTTTTCGTTCAGTCATAAAACTGAGTGGCCGAACAATTTTAATCACAAAACCATTGTAAATCATAAGATACTGTACAATAGTTTCAACTTAGGATAGAACTTCTCAGTGGTACACACTCACAGATCTCAGATTTTCAAGTCACTCAGTAGGCAGTGACCACTAGACCAGGATGGACCATATATCCAGTTTCAGTCAGTTCGCGATATCATCATTTAATAACTAATTGACATAGGAGAAAGTTGAACTCCACTGGCCGGTTTCTAGCAAGAACCCTGAAAATCACTTTTCAATATCAGTCACTAGGGAATACATGATGATCATCAACATAGGTGTTTGTTTAGATTACCGCATATCACGTAATACGGAGAACTGAAACGAGATGTGTAGTTCAGTGGTCTAAAGGTTAAGCGCTCTTGGTAAAATCTAAAGGAATTGGGTTTTATTATGGTTGCACACTCTTGAAGGGTGGAATACTAAGGCTGAACAGCTGCTCAATACCTCGATTCAAATTTGAAACTATTTTCAGTTAAATCAGTAAGGTGGAAAGTAAGACATTTATTTATTTCTCAATGACATCTGATGATAGATTTGATAAAATTACAAATTAACAGGATTTTTGAAAATATTTTATTCTAACTTAAAGACTGATTGGTTGTTTATTCATCTTATGATTTAATTGTTCTACATTGAATTTGCATAATTTGCCAAACTTGAAAACTAAAACAATCACTGTTGTACAATCCTTAATGACTTTCAATGATTTTATTGCCTTTTAGCCGGTTCATATTAAATGCTTATTTACAAACAGTAAATACATTTAATAAGGAAACTGTAAATTTAAACGAAATTCCAAGCAATAATTCCATCATTAAATTTTAATGTAAAAATATCCATGTTTATAGTGATAATCTACAGCAAAACTTTCAACTCAAATGATTATCAAGATACACTAGAATATCATATTATCTTTTACTCCAAAAAAATATTACTATCTAATTTATGTTATGCATTTCTCTTTCCAGTAACTAGGTAACTGAAATAGATTTTTTTCTAAACCTTTGTTCCTATTTACAATATCACTTTCTGCTGTCTTCTTAACAATCCTATGATATTTTACTATTCATTATTACCCTATAAATTATTAATTTTACACATTGGTATACACTGTATCTAGTGTACTGTTTCTAATATTGAATGATATTTTTTTAAATAGAAAGAGTGAGTTTTGTTACTAAGTAACCAGGTTTTGTGTGTAAACCTATGTAAAAAAAAGCAGATGAGTACAGAATTGATCCTAGATCCTGACAAACATTTTGAATTGTAAATAAATTTCAATAGAATTCAGGAAAACAAGAAATAAATTTGTTAATAAAAAAATTTGTGATTTCCCATTTTCTTTCTATAGTTTGCTCCATAATTACTTTTTAAATTATGATCATGGAACAATTTAGAGTTAGAAAAAAAACATTCGTAATGTTGCATAAGTAGAGATCGAGATAGACAAAAACTTAGAAAAACCATTAAAATAATTCTTAAACTATGCTGTTTTATTGACAGCCCTTCAGTTGAGCGTTTTGAAACAATGAATTTAGTGTACGTGAACATTGATCAAGCAATTATTTTACCTTCGAGTATATTGATAAATAGGCTTTCGGTAGAATCAGCATGTTTACTTTCAACAATGACATTAGTATTGCAACCTCGAAGGCACCTTTAGATTCGTTTTTCCGCATTCCTCAGGCTGGGTGTTCAGAAAGATATTCAAGCTCTGAAACTGTAGTATCAAATCAGAGGATGTCATCTACTAGATTACTGTATGACGATGGGAATCGACTAGATCGATAGGTGTGTTACTTGTTATTTATAAATAGCTGAAAAATGCAACCCCTCATCTTATGTTATACTGACTCATCACTAAGAATTTATCAGTGAAGTCGTTGTTCATGCCCTGCTGTTGAATGAATTTTATCAATCAAGTTGTATTTTGGCTACCAATATAATTAACTCAAAATCGCACGCGTAAAGTATTCTGAAGTCAGGTGGTTACAAATAGTAAGCAGAAAGATCTGGGCTTAGGTTTGATGCTGGCTGGTGCTTGTTACGAAAGTTTGTTAGTATTCTTGAGAGAACTGATGTTCCCTGTAAATGATACATGTTAGAATCCCATAGAGGAGAATAGTTCCTTCGAAACTAGTGACATGCCTCACTCACAAGATTTAACATTCAAATGAGGTTCAAAACCTTTTCCTAAACGTTTTCACTGACCTAACATAGATCCTTTTCTGGGACTATATTAGAAAACTGAAAGCTGGTTCGAATACAATATATTTTCTTATGTTTGAAATATTCAAATAATTAAACACCATTTACATACTTTAGTGATTTTTCATTCAACTAAAACATAATGCTCTAATTAGCTCTTAAAATAACTCCTTATTTCAAAGTGGTTTTATTAACACTCATAAATAGTTCGATTTTATCTAGAAAGTGATTACAGTTTTATCCCTAGTTATTAATAATCCATAAAACTGATAAATTCAGCGTCTACATTTGTGTTTATTTTGTATGAGTCAGTTAGACAAGTTCAAAATATGCAGAATATCTCTTCACCATTCTATAAATTACGTGGACAATATATTAACTCCAAGTTGTGAAGTGAGTATTAACTCTGTGATTACTTTTCCCTTTAATATTTTCTATTTTTAACAGTTTTCAGTTGTACATATTATTGAAAATGGTTAAAATTTTCATTTACTTAGCTCAGTTCTGAATTCAACTCAAAGCTGAGTATCTACAAACAATACTTTCAGCTTGTACAAA